ACTCACAAATCCAGGCCACCTTATTATATACACTCTGAAGTACTCACATATACATCCACCTGACATCCATTATCCAAACCACTGGACGTGACCAGACCTCCTGGTTCCCATCTTCTAGACCACCTGGTATCCATCATCCAGTCTGTCTGACATCTGACTGATAACCATCCAGGACCAATCCTACAGTGCTAAGAATGTAGGACCGATAATTCTCAGTAATGTACTTCTTACTCTAAGAGATTTTAACTTTTCTTTCTTCTTTGGAACACTATTTGGGTTTATGCCTAAATCAGTGTTTCCAGAAGAAATATTCTTTTTGATCTCAAATAAATGCTTGTTGCCTTTCACTTTGGCCTTTTATTTTTAGGTTAACAGTCTCTTAACTAGTGTCCCAGCTCCAGTCAGATCCCTTTGAGCCACACTCCGCATAGTGCCAGCGTGCCGTGCATGTGGCACCAGCTGAACCCCGCAGAGGGTCCCCTAGCACCTGGCTGCAGTCAGGCTCCTGGGCTGGGCGTTGGGGTCTTAAAGGATCTGGGTCAGCCCGCTCCCCCACCATCCTGACACGTGCATTACAAGCTAACAAGCCTTGGTTCCCGCGAGTTGTCTTTGCTTGGAATAGTCTCCTTAGCTCTGACTGGAAAACTGAAAGAGTACAACTTTATGTAAAACAATTAAGTAATTTGAATACCTAACCTTAGGGAAAAAAAAGGACTCCAAAATGTGAACTAAGGTCTACACACATAGCTATTTATCACAGCCTTATTTCTAACAGCAAAAGAAGTGTCTGTATGTGTGTGTGTGGGGGGGCGGGCAACTTAAATGTCCAAAAATAATCAAATAAATTATGGCATACAGGATATTATATAACAATTAAAATGACAAAGTTTTAGAGACATGGAAACTATTTATTCTAGAAAGGACTTAAGATGACTTAGGAGATGCAGAAATCCCAAAATGTGCCACAAAAGCAAAAGAAGAAAGAAAACTAGGAATGGCGACATAAAGCAGAGTCGGGGTGAGGCCGCAAAGATACCTTCTGGCTGTGCATCGGCCACACATCTGGTGCTTAGCTTTCCATCGGCAAGCAGAGAAAAAAATCTGCACAGTATCACCCCTTAGTAGCCACAATATGAAAAATCCCCTTGTTTGGGAGAAATGCACTCATTTCATACATGAACTGTTGTGGCGAGTCCCCACGGAGGGGCACACAAAATACTAAGACACACGCGGCAGGTTTTCCGAGGGCGATTCTTGCAGAGATCCCGAGGAAAGCAGCGGCCACTGCATCAGCCAACTCAATTCCCTTGTACGGAGCCAATAGAAAATAATGCACATTTTTAGTTTTCTGTGGATTGGCCTTGTTGCAGAAGTAGAATTTAGAGAGATAGAAGGACTGAAGTATATTTCAATGAATCTTCCCCCAAATAATTTTTTTGGTCATACTTCTGATACTTAATGAAGTTAAAGTTGTACTTGATGAAAAGTACCTGGAGTCAAGCTAGTCTAGCCGGATAATTAAAAATAGACTTATCAGAATGAATAATTAAGGGGCAGGAGTAGAAGGAGTGAGCTGAGAAGGCTACTAAAGAAAGACGGAACCAAATCGAAGGTCATAATGATGTAATGATGGTGCTAGGAACAGGAATAGTTCTAATGATGATAAGAGTAATGGCACATTATATTGTAATAATAGCAATAATAACAGTAGGAATATATATTTTCATTATTTGTCAGGTTTTGTATTGGGTATGTAAAAACAAATTTTTAGTTAGATAAAGTAGATTCTTCCATCAAAATCTAAGTTCCCTCATTGACAATTTTTTTCTGTTAATAAAAGTCAAGGCTAAGTGAAAAACACAGCACACAAAGCTGGCACTCTCTCCTAGAGTCCAAAAGTTTTGGTGGCGCTGGCACATTCTGTTCCCTTTAGTAAGAAGATCAAGGGAAATGGAATCTGCCTGTGATTTCCTACTCATTCCTGGTCATACTCCGGCTGCCGATCCATTCATGATCATTCATAAAGTATTTTAAAGAGCCTGTTAACTTAATTAAAATAGCACTTGTGAAAACAAGAATTGATTCTGAATAGCTTAGGTCTGTTGTTAAAGAAAACTCGTACTTGGAGCTGGTAGGTATGTCTGTGCATGTCTTCATTCTAATCATCACCATAGCTACAAACAGGAGGAAAATAATTTATTATTAGTCCCTCACTTGTGCAAGGGTCTCTGAAAGAGACAAACAACAGAATGATTTTGAAAATGTGGTGATACAAGAGCATCTAGTCCTGAATGATAGGGAAAGATACCCTACCCAGCAACAACAGAGCCGAGAGGTACCCAGTGTGTCAGGGGTGCCGAGGTCACAGAAAAGAGTATCAGAGAAGGAAGACAATAAGTTGGATCATTTTTTTGAAACAGTTTTTACACCAAAGAGATGCAAAGAATTCTGTGGATGAGTCAGCCTAGAAACAATGGGAAAGTCTATGAAGTTCATAGGAGCAAAGGCTTAACAACACTCCAGAGGAAATTATCTAGCAAAAAGCAAATGCCAGTGCAATTGTTTGATAACATCCATTAGTGCAAACTGTCTGGCAGATAACAGCAACAGGCATAAAAATATCTTGATTTTAAAGTCAGCATAGAAAAAAATGTATGAGCTCTTCAAAGAGTGAATATGTGTGGCGAGTCTAAGATCAAAGTTGTAAGGATAACCTGTGCTTGGGAATGCTCAATGCATTTTGCTATTTATTTATTTTTAAAAACATATCTTTATTGATTTCAGAGAGAGGAAAGGAGGGGGAGAGAGAAAGATAGAAACATCAATGATGAGAGAGTCAGTGATCGGCTGCCTTGCCCGCAACCCAGGTATGTGCCCTGACCGGGAATCGAACCCCGATCTCCTGGATCCTAGGTCGATGCTCAACTGCTGAGCCAGGCCCAGCCAGGGTGCATTTTGCTATTTAAAGCAGGGCCCACAATAAGAAAATAAAAGCTGATGGACAGTAAGGAGCTTAAAGCAAAAAGAATCAAGAAATGAGCTGAGAACCAAATAATGATGTAAAAAGGAAAAGCTTGAGGCCAAACTGAAACAGCCTAGGGCAAGGACTAGTATAAATAAAACAAAAGTTCCTAAAGTTTTATTATTTTTGTGTGATAAATATTAAAATGCTATTTTTTTCTTGGTTAATATTTCTAAAACATTTTACTGTAAAGGGAGATCTGGCATGATATATCATGACAATCTAAATGCTGCTAAAGCCAGGTAATTTGTCATAATTAAAAAAATTGCGATCAGCCAGATGTTACACACGTGGGCATGGTGAAGTAAACTGTGGGTACGTCTATGGCTGGGCTATTATGCAGCCTCTAGCAACTGCATGTAGAACATGGAATATGCTCATGACAGCTCTAAATGAACAAGCTATTGTACACTATGAATTAAGAGCTAGAGTAATGCTGTACCTAGTTTCTAAAGTATTTTCTTCATTACATTTGTAAAGTTCTTTGGAGTCTCAGGGAAAAAATTGCTATTTAACTTCAATTTGCTTTGGATATATATATTTTTTTATTAGGAACCACCTTACAGGCTCTAAGCAATCTCTAAGAAATAAAATGAAGGGAAGCACTTTCCTTGCTTTTAACTATCAGCCTTTATAAACCTGAATAAAATCTGCAGAAATGGAAGATGCTATGCTGAGAGGCTCTGGTGGTTCATGTCCTGCCTCTTTGCCAGTGTTCTAGAAGTCACCAAGTGAAAACCATGTATAATGTCTAGAGAGATAATTTATGTATAGTAGCCTCATATGAAGGAAACTACCAAGTCTTCATATGCCCGATTTATGATTTTATCTTAGAGAAAGTCAGGCATCTATACACCAAGGAGAGGAATCCCACTTGAAGGCCTTGGCTGGGGCCACCAGAGTGCACTTCCTCAGGCCTGGTTTCCTAACAATCAATTTGCCTAAAAGCATTTCAAGTACGATACATTCCCCTTGAGAGTTTCTGCATTTATTTGAGTATCCTGGGTGGTTTTTTTTGTCACTTCTTTGTCATTTTGGGATTATTAAACCAACTCTTCTAAAGGTATACTTTATTTATTTTGTATTTCTAATAAATAGTTTTTAAAGATGCAATGTTTTATGAGTAAATGGACTGTTTTATATCTCTGCATGTTTTCTATCTCTCTGTGTTTTTTTCTACTTTATTTACTTAAGTATTTTAAGACCTTTTAAAGCCAGTCTTTTTAAGTGAAGACCATTTCTTCAAGGCAGAATTTGATTTTGATTTTTAGAACACTTGCACAGATGCAGAAACACTAAAAAAAGGTTTTTAATTGTAGGAGGACAGCTTTTAAGGAAACTTTAAAATAATTTAATCAAACTATTTAAATGTATTTCATTTTAACTGTATAAAAAGAATTCAGAAACCTTAACAGTAAATTTCATTTAGGGGGAGGAATGAGGGTTACGTGAGAATTACCTGGGAAGTTTTTCCAACTACACATGCTGGCACTCTTTCCTATAGATTCTAGAAGTTTGGCAGGGGACTGTCACATTCTGTTCTCGTTAGTTAAAAAAAAACAAACAGAAGAAAAAAAAAAATCAAGGGGAATGGAATCTGCCTTCAGCTTCCTACTCATTCCTGCCCATTTTCTGGCTGCTGATCCCTTCATGATCATTCATAAAATATTTGAAAGATTTTATTCATTTAATTAAAATAGCACTGTAAAGTCGAGAACTGGCTCTGAATGTCACAGATCCGTGGTAAAGAAAACTCACACTGGGGGCCATGTTATCAAACTGTGTCATGAGGTTCTAGTTCCTAGCGGTACACTACTCCTTTGGTGCACAGAGGATCAGAAAAATATTTCAAAGGGAAAAGTTAAACAGAAAGAACGAGCCTTTTGGTTGCTTGATACTGAAGCACGGAAATGTTTGGGCAGGTGGCCTAGCAGGTCTGAGGCTGAGCCAGGGGCCAGCGGGCGGCCTAGTGACTCACCGGCAGGGCAGGATCCGGACCACGTCGCTGGGCTTGTACCCTTCGATGCAGACTGCACAGTTGTCAAAGTCGGGCTCTGTTTCCTGCAACACAGAAAGCACACATGAGCCTGCTTTCGTAGCTCCAACTCCTGTGAAGACACCCAGATAACAGGCCAAATGACAGCATGCAACAGTCTTGGGGTCAGTTTTCTTAATCAATAATTTACTATTTATTGGCTTAGTTTCCATTCATTCTAACCTCCACTTTTGGTTTCTGGGTTCCACTGCAAGTGCTTTGGTGAGGAAACAATTTTTTATGTATCATTACCAATAATGCTATTTGTTATCATTAGAAGTGGCATAGCAAAAACTCGAAGATGAGAAACATCATTTATGGAGAAGTATCTGAATGATATTTACCCATTTCTCGGGAATCTAATGTGTACAACTCTAAAATAGTGCTTTTAACTTCCCGCTCCCAAGTATATAAATCTATTTTAATGCTCCATAAAATATTACTTATATAGTAGTTCTTATTCTTTTATTATTCTCTGTTTCAGGGGAAAATGATAAAAAACTACTTTATATTCAGTAGTGATTTTAAATGAATATTATCAGACACAGACAATAGTGTAGTGAAGGCCTGGGTTGGGATGGGGGTGCCGGGTAGGAGGAGTCAATGGGGAAAAAAAAGGACATCTGTAACAATAAAGATAAATTTAACTTTCAACAATAAAGATAAATTTAAAAAATAAACAAGTGAATGTTATATTAATAAGCTCAATGGTACATCTATATAGTTGAAAAGAAGCAGCACATAATTAGGGAGACAAATCAATTATTCAGACTAGAGAAAACACCTGTAATACATGGAGAGTCATGAATCCCTTACAAGCCCCCAGGAGCCCCAAACCCATGTCTGCAACCCACTGCTTTAAAATTTCTCCTGGGGCGAAGAGAGACCTTCGGAGGCGCAGGCGTGGCCTGCAGCACTCTGTCGTCGGTCCTCTAGACGTGCAGCTGCTTTGGGCTTTATGTCAACCTTCTGCAGCGAGGGAGACTGTTGGCAATGACTTTGGGGCTCTTGACACGGGATTTCAGAAGCACTAAATATGCTCAGTGCATTTACTACAGATGTAAGCGGAGGATATCGTTCAGCACATAACACTGTCTTCCTTGCAGAGATTTGTGAAAAAATTGTTTCAAGTCCTAATACAGGAACGATTATTTTTTGTCTTTTTAAATCTTGTGGGACACTGGATAAGGTAATTAGCTACTGCTTGAAAATTGAATATTATTTCCTTCTTTGCACTGGCTGCTAGAAAGCCCCCACCTAAATTTGAGACCCACTTCTGTTATACATTTGTATACTAATTTCTTCCTGGCTTCATCTGTTTTTCCTACATTACTTTTTAAATTTCTCATATTTCTTATCCAAACTACTTTGCTATTCTACTGTATGCATTTCATAAAGTGCTTTAAGTTATATTTAATAAAGATGGGTATGACAACAGGTGCTTATGGGAGAATTATTAGCACACATCCCCCTTTCCCATCCGTCTCTCTCTTCTACCCCGGTGGCCAGTAAAGCGAGGCTCTTTTTGAATAGCCCCTCACCCAAAAGAAAAGAGGCTGTTACCTTGTCCCCCTTCTTGATGGTCCTGACCTGGAGCTTGCTGATCGCTTTTTTTGCTGCGTCTCCCAGTCGGCGCTGAAACACCAAACGCTGTGTGTTAGTAACAAAGGCCTGTAATTCTTGACTTTGCTTCTGATAACATTTAATAAACCAGAGCAGCTATCACTGAAATTATGCACAAGTGGCATGAATGCTAATGATGATGTCTGGAAGAGAGATGGGCTGGTGATATCTGTGCAAAGTGGCTCTAGTAATTGAGGTCTATTAAGGAGAAGCTCTTCGTGCCCCGTGTTAAGCAAACGGCATATGATATAAAAAGATCCTGCCCAACAGTGACTTTAGTGCAGGTTACATCTATGCAGACTAGCAAAAAAAATAATAAGCTTAGTAATTTGCCACTCCAGTCACTTAATTTGTGACAGACACAATCAATCTGGAGTAATTAGAATAAACATCTCTTTTTTCACAATCAAGGTTTATCGTCTGTATATTCCTTTCAATTTGGAATTTTAAGGAATTTCCTTTGCTGATGTAGACCCAAACTAGGTTCATATTTAGTCTGTAATATCCTATTACACCACATTCTTACATGCCAATTTTACCTCCTTTGTGTATGTTTAAGTGTGCGTGTGGATATAGGGATATACATAAAATATGTATGTTTAGTTTAACAAATAATGATAAAGAAAACCCCTAGATAACCAGCATAACCCACATCAAGAAATACTATATTATGCATTATTTTTAAAAGTAAAGTTACTTTCTAATGAGTACTACAATAATGTAATGAGGAAGACTGAGAGACAAGGAGGGTGAGGAAAGAATTGTTTTAATCCATCAAGGAGAAAAATGGTTTGCTTCTGTGTTTGTGAGTTTTCCACATTTTTATCACCTTTCTAAGTACATGTACTATTTGTCTGTTATAGATGTATATTTGCAGCACTAAACATATTTGAAGGACTGAGATAAATGGAACAAGCATTTAAACAGAATAAGCATTAGCTTTCACTAATTTTGTTCCTTTTGGAAATAACACTCAAGCTTCTTTCTTTTCTTTAAAATAGTGAGCATATACTAGTGAACTGTTACTTTATCCAAGGTACCATGGTAAAGCTTTAAGTGCAGTATCTTTCATCCTTACAGCAACCCTATGAGAAAAATATTGTTCTGTAGAATGAACTAAGACTTATAGTTCATGTAAATTGTTTTAATATTATAATGTTAGTGAAATGTCAGCTAGAATATGAATAAAATTAAGTCTGACTTTAAAGCCAAAGCTAAACTATCATTCTCATTATTCAGGAACCACACAATTGACCAACCTGCCAGTCAGCCAATCAACCAACTTCTGCCCAGAGAGCCAACTAACCAATCAGCCAGCCAGCCAATCAACTCACATGTGGCCAACCAGCCAACTAACCAATCAGCTAGCTAGCTAGCAAGCCATTCAACTAATCAACCAATCAGCTAGACAACCAACCAACATCTAACCAGCAAGCTAACCAGTCAACCAGCCATTCAGCCAACCAGCTAACCAACCTGCTGGCCAACCAATCAAAATCTCTGAAGTACCTATGATGAGGCATTTCCCTTAACATACAGTAGTTACGGTAAATAAGTACAAAAGGAGATGCTCTCCTTGTTAGTTTACTTTTCTCTTTGATATGTCATTTTTTAGTTTTAAAAATAATCACTGGCATTTTTACCAGGAGAGCAAGCTTTGGCTGTTTCCTAAAAGGACACCTACACACACAGAGATTTATGCAGAAGTCTGTGAGTAGCTAGCAAACTATGGTGGCAGGAAAAATAGTTAAGAGTCTATAATGATAAATACCAGCGGGGGACATAGGGTGAGAAGGGGAATAAAGAAGTGAGGTAAAACTAAACAGGATGCAACTCTTTTCTCTCCTCTTCCTCTAGTTATTGACTAATCATCTTTTGGTCTCATCTCAAGCCATTTTGAGGGGAGCCCTCCCTAGATGTCTTCCAAGAGAGAAGGTCCTTCTGGTCTAAACCCTCACAGCACCTGTCCCTCTGCTTCATAGCACTGTGATAACATCTGCTATTTTTAAGACCAATCCCAGTTACTTTTCTCTCATGTAAGCTCCCTGAGGACAGGACTGTGTTTATGTTTGCTTCCCATTAATATGAATAGAGCTACCGTCAGTAATTGACACTGGATCATTCAACATATATTCCAGATCACTTACTTTGTCCCAGGAACAGCTCCGGGTTTTGGGGGGGAAAAAAAAAGGGTAGTGAAAACATACACAAATTCCTGCTCTCCGAAATTTACTACCTAGTAGAAACTCCATTAACGGTTGATGAATGAATAAAATCTTAAAAGAAGAGGTTTTTATTTTTTTATTTTTAGCATGGAAAACAACCTGAGACATTTAGCCAGGAAAATACATGGACAAACTATAAGTAATACATGTGGTTAGGTAAGCAAAGCTATGGTCCTGACCTTGGCAAATCCAGCCTGTCTCATCTATGAGCTGCTTTTCATTGAAGAAGCTGGGAGCAGGAATTGAAAGGCATGGAGAAGGGGCTACTAGTTACAAAGAGTGAGTGCAGTAAACCTGCAGAATATTATATTTAGAATAAGAGATCTTGACCTAAAGTAAACAAGCATTGATTGTTTTAATTTTAAGTTATGAGCTCAGATATTTCTGTAATTGTGTTTAATTGGTATTTTATAATATCTGCCCCTAATTCAGTTACTTAAATTGTTTTTTATATGGAAAGGCTAAGCAGAGCAATTAGGCAGCAAAAATTATTTTTGAACAATGGTATTGGATTATACTCAAAGGCAACTTTTTTTTTAAGGAGGTGAATCAGAAATAATGTTTTCAAAATTTATTTAAAATACTTTTTTTAGCAAATGAAATGCCTGTCTAAAATGGGAACATGTAAGGTAAATTCAAAGTCTGCTTTCTATCTTGTCAATGGATTTTACTTAACTTTTGGTTATATCTGAATAAAAATGGGGTATTTAATAAAAACATCCCTTTCTCTCTTCAGGAAAATAAAAAGCCTTTTCCATGCCCCTTTAAGGGAAAATGCAAGCTGCCTTTATTAAATAAAAGAAAATGGTTTATCTATTCAGGAAATGTAAAGTAAGCTGACCTGAGCGTATTGGGGATTAGGGCTACCAGCAGAGTGAATGGTTAGGGCATTAGAAAGAGGAATCTCATTCCCCACATTCTGCTGACTGAGGCCTGGGGGGTTAAAGGAGTTCAGTGGAGGGCACAGTCTTTTGGAGCCGGGCTTCTCAAATGGGCAGGGCTAACAGATGGAGACACCCAAGTAAGAGAGAGAAAGACAAAGCCCTCTCAACATCAAGTCTATGAGGCCTTCCCCCTGGAGGTCCTGAGGCCAGATGATGCACACAGGAAGGCAGACACGTTTTCTTTGATCATTCTGAAAAACTGGTGTGAAGTGCCCTGAGTCCAACCTCATTTCAGGTGGCAGTTCACATATACTTCTTTTCAGGAGGAAAGGGGTAACGTTGTGTGAGTGGCTGATGAAGGGTAAATGAGTCTGACCTGCTAGGGGGCAGAACAGATGTTCTAGATACCCCAGAGAATACAGAGAAGTCCACTTCGGAAATACAGAAGACAGTTATGAAACAGTGGAGTGCTAGGTTTTTCAACAGGAGTCTAGATTAACAAAATAAGGGGAAAAGCACCATAAAGTTTTAAAAAATGCTATATTTGCATGAAACCAAATTTTGTCAGTATATGCATGTCTCTATTTCTTTTTGAGTGACAAGAAAATGACACAGAAATATTGACTTCTGAATAAAAACACTGACTCACTTTCAACAATTTTCTAACTAGTATTACTGGATTACCAAAATGCAAATGAAAGAGATGAGTAAAAACATAAACATTCTTAATGAAATGGCCCAACTAAAACAGTTGTAGCCTTTACAGTTGGTTTCTTCTGGTTTTGGGTTTTGGGTTTTTAACTGCACCAGGTAAAAAAGATAGAAAAACCATAGGCCCTGCTCAAACTGAGCCTGGTATGGGGGGAGACATCTGTCACACAACACATCCTTTCCTTTGTGGTTCTCAGAAATGCAGACTAAAAGGATGTTAATGGGAGACTTAGGGACCACCTCAGGTAGATTTAGGGACGACCTCAGGTTTCTAGAAGCCTTTTGTTTCAGGGGGGATTCCTCTCCCTTGTCCAGGGGCTCCTACAGATTTCTTCTGACCCAACTAGATCCAAATCATGCTTTTCACTAGAGTGTATCAGGAGTTGGGCATTTTAGTAATTGATTTATCCATCAATTTAATCTAAATGAGTATAAGAAAGTATTCACCAAGGTTATTAGTTCCTTGACAATAGTGAAGATACATGGCTTCATGGAAAATAAAAACAGAACCATTTATTAAACGAAGAAAATCCTACATAAATGCCAGCAAGGAGGGTAAACAATGATAGACTCTAGTTCAACCCAAGACATGTAAATTAGAGACTTTCTAAATATTTAGGAAATGGAGAAAAAGAAGACACTTTCCCCTGGACCCCTTCTGGGTTACAAACAGACATGCAGTGAAGATGATAAAAAACTGGGGACGTAAGGATGCCAAACAGCATAAAAATAGAGTTTATGTTCTATGCCATCTGATAGGATAGTTCTGTATCATATTTGCCCCTTTTTACTGACATCTGTATTTGATAATCGTCATTATCATCAGCACCACCAAGTGGAAAAATAAAGTGCTCTTCTGTTCTAGGTGGAGAGAGGACACTGTAAACATAAACAGAGTTGGTACTAGTCGTCTGGAACCTCGAGGCCACGGTGACTCAGACACTTCTCTCACTCGCTCTAATACATTATAATGATTTTTCCAGGCCTGGCTGATGTAACAGAAATCTGCACAATTTCTATGATGTAGATCAGCACTCCGTAAATCTAGAAAAGTGGGTCAGAGAATGAGATTGACTGCTCTGCCAGCCACGGTGACCTCACAGAGTGATGACTTAAAGCTGTTTGCGTACATGTGACATGAGGTGGAAACGCCGGGTTAATTTTTGTGGGAGGTGTTGTAGAGGAGAAAGCAATGGCTCAGAAGTGAGAAGATCCAGCTTTCAGTCCTGTTTCAGTCACTAACTGTGTGACTTTGGTCAAGTCGCTCAACATTCTGGACCCCAGTTCCCCTCATTAGTAAAATTAAGTACGTAAAGTCTTGTCATTTCTGGTTTTCCCAGCTCAGGATTTTCTTCCATGCAGAAGAGAACTGGGAGGCAAAGGTCCTTGGAGACTTGAATTATCTAAACATGGCAAATCAACCGCTAATGACCTCACTGAAGACGTCAGGGAAACAACATGCACTTCGCCTTTCTGTCCCCCGTGGGCTCTGCACTTTCTCTAGGGACAGAAAAGAGATCGTTTTGGTTGTTGCTCTTTAGGAGACAGGAGCATCTCTGACCCCTGGGACACTTGGCATAGTCTTCTCCCTTCCTTTTCTCTTTCCCTGTGACATTCTAGTTTGTCTTAAACACCATTACTTCTCTTGTTCCAGCATAACTTCAGGGCCAATATGTGCAAATGAAAACAAATGGCCATGGGCCATGTACGTGCAAATACTAAGAAAAGTATTCACACAGAAGGGTAACTCTTTCAAGAAAGCTTGGTTGAATGTCATTACCAGGCCTCACATAAAACAACACAAACCAGGTCTGGTTTCCTTGGATTAACCTCAAAGGCAACATTGTTTACAAAAAACAAAAAAAGAGCTTAATGTTGTTTATCTGATCTGCCCATGTTTGAAATAGCCGCCTTCTACTGAGAGTCCTGTGGTTTTCAGGACACAGACCTAGTCTTTGTGTCGGAGATGGGCTATCCTAGGAGACAGCGGGTCAATGTCCCAGAGCATCACTGGAAGGCAGGCTCATCGGCCAGAGCCAAGGCAGGAGTGCTGCTCGCTGGCTTTGCTCTGCCCTCTGCAGGGTTTCTATGAACAGGATAAGAATTCAGGAATGGCCATCAAAGTAGCACATCTGGGGAATGAGGGACACATGACTTCTTAACCTCCTGGTGGGGCGGGGAGGGTGCCCATATGGATATTGGCGTTCTGGTCAAGAATCTGTCATGGCCCTGGCCCACCAGGTAGCTCCATTGGTTAGAGCATCGTCCCAATATACCAAGGTTGCAGGCTTGATCCTTGGTCAGGGCATATACAAGAATCAGTCAATGAATGCATAAATAAGTGGAACAACAAATCGAGGTTTTCTTCTCTCTCTCAATCAATCAATTAAAAAAAAAAGAATCTGTCATGGTCCTGGCTCTCTATCTCAAGAGTTCAAGAAGAGGTCACTGGAAGGGAGATGATTAGTTGGGTAGAAGAAGAATCCTGAGCCGCCTCTGTGGAGCCCTCAGATAAGGGGGATCTTAGACTAGATACTAGAAAGGACTTAACAACCAGTCCTTACTTCTAAAGCCAAAAAGGGCCAAATTCAAACAGTAGAATGTGCTTAGTGTCACTTGTACATTTTTTTTTTTTGGTAAGAGAAAACATGTCCATCAATAGGAGCTGGTTTAATAAATGTAGCATGCAGAAAATAAAATGTTATACAGTCAATAGAAATGAGAAGGCAGCTTGGGTTGAGTGTTGATATAAATTAATCTTCAAGATATAGTGAGAAATAAGGGTTCAGAGTTAAGTGTGCTATTATTTGTTCACACACACACAAACACACATGAATTTGCAAGCACTGAAAATGTCTCAAGAAGAAGAAATTTCAGGCAGAGGACCTGGGTAACTAAGGGGCACATATGGGAAGGCAATTACTTTTCATTTATACCATTTTATACCTTTTGCAATTCATATCATGTGTATATACTATCTTTTCCAAAATTAATTGCTTTAAAAAATAGCTTTTATTTATTTATCTTCTTTTCTTCTATCCACAAGAAGGAAATCCTGGCTCTTCCCAAATTCTGTTGCCACCATTAGCATAATCTCAGCTTATGTCCCCTTTCTCCCTTTATGTGCCTCAATAAATAATTGTCCAAAAGATGAGCAATAGGAATGCAGGACAAAGCACCTCAACTTTACAGAACAATACTAGTAAAATATCAAAATATGTGTATTTGGCAAAGATCTGAAAAACTATACAGCAAATACTAAGTGCTTATCTTGAGTGGGGGTACAACAGGTAATTTTGGTCTTGTCTCAGTATTTTGTGTGCTCCTCTAAGTTTATACAATAACATGTCTCATTTTTGTAATAATTTTTAAGTTCTTTAAAAAACTGTTTGCTACTCACCTGGTTCCTGTCCCTGGCATTTGCATATCGAAACCTCTGGATATAATAAAAGACGAGCCACGCGAGGGAAATGATCATCAGGACGATGAAGGAGATGGAGACAAACACAACCGACGTGCGGCTCACGTATTTCTGCAAGTTCCGAGTTCCGATGGTGATGTACATCATCACCGTGATGTTTCTTTCCAGCAGGCTGACTATCTCCCTGCCTTTTGGCTCAGGAATCATTATTGCCACGATCTCTTCTACCCCTGTTGTGAGAGGGACAATGGTAAGGGGATAAGAGAGAGAGGGGGAAAATAATAGTGAAATGTCTGGATAAAGTAACACACAACCAAATAATGATACTATTTTTGACAATTATTTGCCAGATCTAATATCCAGGTCTAATTTCTAAGTTCCAACGGCCAGAAACTGAATCAAATTTTTGTTTTCTTCAGCTACCTTGGGATGCTGCTGTCTTATATATAAGAAAAGAACCTAAAATAAACTCATAATTTTGGTGCCAGCGAGGTCATGATCAAGCTACCCTTTAACTGCCCAAGGTGTTACTGACCCTGGTAAATAAAGGTGGGCCCTTCCCAACCAGTCCAAGTTTACAGCCCTATGTTGCATTTCACAACCCACCCTGAGGAGAGGAAAAGGCACTCTTACCCCATGGCACAAGGTAAAATGCATTTTTATGCCATCTGTCTGCGACCTCCCTCTCTATCCCTCACTCAAACACTATGAATACTTGATTATAGATCTCTACTTATCATTTTCAAGGCAATTTTCTCCTATACAGAGTACCCGAAGTAACCCCAAATAGGGTTTTTTAGTGAGCTCTAACATGATTTGTCAACATAAAATAATGGTCTCAGAATGATTTTCTACTAATTCGATACAAACAGCTTGTGATTCCTCACCAAGCAAGGGAAGATGGAGGCTGAACAAATAACTCCAGGATTGTTTCACTTCCACTCTCAAATACTCCCGCCACATGCCCGTTATTGGAAAGTCTGCAGCAAAAGGGGCACCTTCCTTGGGTGTGAGTTATCTGGGTCATTGTCTCTATTCTTCATCACACTGTGTGAGGCACAGGCTCTCCGAGAGGAGTTCTGGGGCCTCTACAAGGGGGTCTTTGTAAGGATATGATACCAGCTCCAAATGGAGCAACTTGACATGTCACTGTGACTGATCCATGGACTAGACTATCAATTTCACTACAATAGGTTCTCAGGGATCACCCGATTCAAATTTATGCCCACAAAGCTCTTCATGGGCCCAAGTTCTATACGGAGATATCCTATTACCTGGGGTCACTACAAATTCAAGAGAGCAAATTTACAGCTAGGATGTTGTAGCTTAGGGACAAAATTAAGCACCACCATAGCTGCTTAAAGCTGGCTTTGTTCACATGCTGAAGTCAGCCAGCTAGACGGAGCTACCAGATCACATTTGCTCAGGATCTTGCAAGTCTCTTAGAAGCTACTTAGGGCTTTCACTTGACCTTGATCTCTACGCAGGTTTTCGAGTCTAGATTCCTTGATGTTATTTCACCGGGGCCGAATAAATACTTTAAAAGCTAGCTACATACAAAGGTGTCTGTGTAGGCTACATCAATTATACTTTTTTTTTTTTTTTTTTTTAATTCCAAAAACCTTTGCATGGGCCCAACTGTAAAATCACAAAGCCACAGAGTGTTTAGATTTAGCTGTCAACTTCTGGGAATTACTGAAACTGGATGGCTTGAATTTCAACTTTGCAGAATTTACTGACAATTCCAATGCTCCTCTTTCCATGTTTATTTTGGCTAATGGCTGCATGTGGTCTGAGGTTTCTTGAGGGATTAAGGCTGTGGGCAGGTTTTGTCTCTACAGAAATAACTTCTTTGTATACTGGACTAATCTGGCCTGGTGGGGCTCATCCTGATGCTGTAGCTTTTTTAGATATATTTAAATAGTGGTAGATTCATAACTTTTCACTTAATTGATCCTTTTATTTATATTTCTAAAGTGTGTCTATTCAAGGCTCTAGAATAAGATATTTTTTCTGAGAAGGGGATTTGGGGTTATTTCTAAGACTTTGTATGCTCAGATTTGCACAAGTTTTGTATATATATATATATATTTTAAAAATATGTTTTTATTGACTTTAGAGAGAGAGGAAGGGAGAAGGAGAGAGAGAGAAACATTGATTGGTTGCCCAGCATGCTCCCTGACCCGGTGTTGAACCCGCAACATGGGTATGTGCCCTGACTGAGAGTTGAACTGGTGGCCTTTCAGTGTATGGGACAATTCTCAACCAACTGAGCCACACTAGGCAGGGCAAATTTTATATTTTTTAGTAGTCAAATTTTATTATTCTATTTTATGGCTTCCAGTTTTGACACTTTGCTTAGGAAGCTTCTCCACCACAGATGACAGAAATACTCATTTAAATTTCTTTTCAAAATCTTTTAGTTTTACTTTTTACGTTTAAATCTTGAACAACCTAAATGTGATTTAATAACAACACAACATGTGATAATGTGATGGGTAGAGAGGAGACAGTTAGGATGCAATTTATTTTCCCCTAAATTCTTAGACATATTTGGATCTACTTTTGGATTTTATTTCACTGTAAGATTGACCTATTTTTTGCTGAACCTACACCAGGCTATTTTAGTTGTCTAGGCTTTTAATATATTTACTGTCTGGTAGCCTAACTCTTCCTCCACTAATTATCCCCTTATATTTTTCCACTTATGTACTATATGAGGAGACCATAGGGCCTAATGCTAAAGAGTTGAGCTCTGGAACAGAACAGTTTGTTTCAAACCCCAGCTCAGCATTTTAAAAATAGGCAACCAAAGTTTGGAGATCCATGAAGTTCTAAACTACTCATCATCCATTTTCAGGAACCTGAGAAAACATTTTCTCTTCCTGTAGGGTAAGTATAATTAACTATTTTAAACTGAAGTGTGTAGTTACACTACCTGTGTGGTTCACACCACTGTTGTGTCTTCATAATACATGACATCCGCTTGGAGAGACTGAAAATGGCAGTGGGGAGGTTCTGGTCATCTGAACTTGAACCTTAGTCATTGTCAGTATTCATAATGAATTTCAATTTCTAGGGCTGATGATGGTAAAAAAGAGAGAGGATTCTGGGACATTTTTCCATGCAGTTTAGCCTACATAATGTACATGGTGTGCATTTATCCCAGTAGAAACAGTCATTAAGAACTTAGGTACATAGGCTTTCCCAAAACAGCACAAGGTAAAATGGATTTGGATGAGTTATCTGACCAGTCTGATCAATCCACAAAGTCCAGGGCAAAAAGTGACATAGGATTGAATCTGTTCCAATGGGACACATGCACCCATGTGAGTTATCAAAAAATTCCCTGGTCTTTGCTTCATTTTGGAACATGCAGCCAGTGTTAGGGAGAAGCCAGCAGATTCTCCCCAGCTACACTGTGGTGTCACTGCTTCGGAGGGGGTGTGTGAGGGAAGAGGGGAGAGAAAGCAGGGCTGAGGAGCGGTAGATGCTGAAAATCCAGTTGAGTGATCTCCTTAGAGCAAACACTGCCCTAAGTACCTAACCTATGACACACCGGAGGCTCTGAGACTCAGGGAAGAGCCGTGAACAAACAGCACATTCTCTCTGGGTAAACTCTACAAACAGGCCTTGCTATTTGGGCAATTCTGTGCTTACTGTGATGCCTAATCTATTATCAATTGCCTCTTTTTGCAAAATTATGTCAGCCACCCAGCTATTTTCCTCCCAAAGGCACTTTATACTTCTGAGTGATCACTGTTAAGTAATTACCGTGTATTCGGGAAAAGCTCGTTAGCCCTTGAGAGAATGCGTGACCAGGACGTGCGTATGACCTGGCCGCCAGGCAGGTAGCAGAAGCACCCTGTGTATGTAGTGCTTCCTATCCCAGGAGGGAGCTCAACTGCCATGGCCTAATTTAGTCTATGCAGATAAGTAAGGAATCAAAACAAAAGTTAAGAAAAAATGTTTAATAATCAGGAAATCCTTTATTTATACATTTAAAGCCAGGTTGTTCAAACATTGCATTGATAGAATGTCTGGAACACCAGCACAGGGCTAGACATTTAAAGGGCCAGCAGCCCCATTCCGCCCTGTGCATCCTGGAGGGTGGTAACGCCCTCCTAGGTTTGTGTGAGCAAAAACCCTTTTTCAGTCCTATACATCCTCCGCTCCCCTAATCTTTACTTTAGTCTCACTGACAGCCCTTTAGAATTTAGGCAATAGTAAGAAAAGGCAGTTTTCATTTATAGATATTTTCTGATTATACACTTATTATCTACTGCCTTTTAAATAGTCAGCTCCTGATAATCATCTATTCTAAAGTCAGATGATAACATATGTGAAATAATTTCAAAAAACTGCAAAGTACCATATAAATGTAAAGTATTACCATTTTCTGCATTAGTTTAAAAACACTTTTAATAAACATAGATGCCAAAATCATAAATAAAGCATTCACAAATCGACTCCAACAATCCAGTAAAAAAATATTTATGATCAAGGTGGGATCTGTCCTAGGAAGGTGAGGGTGATTTAATATTGGAAAATATATGAATGCTTTTTAGTGCATTAACAAATTAAAGGAATAAAGCATATGATTATCTTGTGTACCTAGCTGTCCTCCAATATCTGGTCTCTTATACTTCTACAGTATTCATGTTTTAGCCTGGCACATGCTGTCTAGCAAAGTGTTAATCCTCAGCCTCCCTTGCAGCTAGCTGTGGCTCTGTGGTTAATGTTTGGCTGTTGAGATGTGGGTGGAGATGATGTTGGCTACTCCAGGGTCCTATCCATAAAGGACTGAGTATGTGCACCCCAGACCCTGTCTCCCCTTGTATCTGACTCCAGATAGAGAGGTGTGGAACAACCAGCTTCTTAAAGAAGGAAGCATATGTTGGGGATGGCACCCATTCCTGATTCTTATTAATAGTAATATAAAGAAATTTCCTTAATGTGGGTTATATCCACTTAAGCTATCATAGCTGTGGAGAGCTCTGATGTCACCATGATTCCTGTTCTCTGGAAGTCACCTGTTCTTCCTCTTTGTAACCTGTTAGAGTTATATTTGAGATGCTAGTCTTTCAGGTTCTTAAATGTCACTGTGTCTGAGTATTCATCAGTTAGTTTGGTAGTATATGGATACTTTCAATCTGAGGTATTTCATTTTTTCTTTAATTCTAAAACCGTTGTCTTTCCTCTTATATTTTTCTTTCCTGTGATTCCTATT